ACGATTTTCAGCTTTTTCCGTTATATCTCGAAAAATATTCGAGATATAAAAAAATGTTTTATATAAAAGTTTTACAATAAAATTACCTCTATTTATTCACGTCAATGATATTTTTTTAGAATAATTATTTAACAATTTTTTTTCGAAAATTGACAAAAAATTGATAAATAATTGTTCTGAAAACGCGAATGAATACAGATGATTTTGTTGTAAAACTTTTGTATAAAACATTTTTTTATATCTCAAATATTTTTCGAGATATAACGGAAAAAGCTGAAAACCACTATATACGTTAGGGGTGATTTCACCCCTTCAAACCGTTTTTGGGCCAGAACTGATATTTTCTAAATTCATCTCTTTATGTAAGCTACAAGTTCACGAAGTTTAAAATCAGAATTTGTCACCTCGAGAGGTTCCCTTGTTAGTAGCATAGTAAAATTTTGGGTGCAAATTCAAGCCAGCAAAAAATAAATTAGTTTTGAAAAAAAGAATGCAGTTACGATGAAAAAGAGGGATTAAATAAAAATATTGAATAAAATATAAATTTGAATTATTTTGTTAAAATCGTTTAAAGTGCGCAAGTTTTGAACTATAAACGTCAGATATAATATTTAAAAAATTATAACTAGACATCGGATTATACGCATTTGCATATTTGTATATGCAAAATGCTTATAATGAGCTGTTCGCAGCATTTTGCATATAACAATAATTTTTTTATTGAAAATGCATAAATTAAGTCATTTCTTTTTTGATAGTGTATATTTATGTATATTTTGGTCTTTTTTAATACATATTTGCATGCATATTTTAACACTTTGATTATGCATATAATCCGATGTCTAATTATAACAATTATTTGGAATACGAGCAGTTTAAGGAAATTGTGAGCAAATTTTAAAATTCCAGACTTTTTTACATTTTTTCCTGACCTTTCCTGGTTTTCCTAGTTTTCCAGGTCTGTGGCAACCCTGGTTTTCTTATAATAAATATCATAATCGTCATAGCCTGCTAGATATCAAAGAAACAAAATTATCCCTCGAATTAATGCTTCTATGTATACCTATGTCACAATGTAAATCAATCCACTGCTGTGATAATTTCAAAATTACAAACATTCATATTAGCGTATGCACTTAGTAAATAACAAACTATAAATTTAAGTCAAATTTAATATTATAAATTAATAATATTAAAGTAGAATGGCTACGAGTCAAACAATAACTTTTAATATTGACATTTAATACAAACATATATTTCTGTTTATCGAATATTAAAAGTTATTGTTTGACTCGTAGCCCTTTTACTTTATTATTATTATTAATTTATTATTATTAAACCATATTATTATTTATATATTTTAATATTATAAAATTTTTAAATTGTTTAACTTCATTGTTTTAGTTAAATTAACTAAATATATTGAATAAGAGTTGTGGCGCGATCGATAGAAATGATTTAAAATGTAATTCAAATTGGATATAATTTGATATGAATTTAACAGTGTCTTGTTAATATTTCATAATAATAAAATTACTAGTACGAAAATTTACTATTGACAATAAAATTTATGCAAAAAACTTATTTCCAATCCATCGAATTTGTTTTGTTTTTACATGTGGAATGGAGAAAATTGCGAGATGCGCTTAAAAATCAAAATCCACCAATCCGTCAATTGAGTTTACGGCATATCAGTCTCCGATAAAGAGGCACGCACATTCGTTATTGATAATCATTTATACAATACGAGCTATGCACAGGGCATCCTTAAGTGTATCCATTCTTAAATGCATTCATTACGTTCCCATGCATCTTCCATTACTTACTATTTAAAAAATTTTTTATATAAAAACAAATATATACAGGGTAGCTGTTTTTGATATGCGTTCGTGTACAGGTAGAATGAATTTAAATGTCCTATATTATTTTGTAATTTTCGCAATAATTTACGACAAATTAATTCTAAAAATCGCCGAATGAACGTGTATCCACCCGGGTTCCCAAGGGTTGAATGTACATACATTCATAGGTCATGACTACTAAACGGGGAATTGTTTACATTTATTACAGACGGCAACAATTATATATGAACAGTGAAAGAAAACAATTCCTAAGCTAGGTGGTCGGATCACGCTGTGCACTTGCATTTAGCGGTAGGTCGGGCGAACATGCGCTCATTCGGTCTGTAGTGATTGATTTCTCGTAATTTACAAAGATTGCAAAATAATACAGCACTTAGTAATTTGCTTTCAACTCATTGCCAGTTTAATCCTCTCTATCTACACGCTTTGTCTAAACTTACCGGGCACTATATAATTATACTTACGAACACTGTTATAAATCTATAGTGTCAAATTTAAGTCGCCACTGCTCCTACTAAATAAATCGTTATTTTATAAAAAAATTGTTTAAAAGTCCGAAGATTCTTCTCTTTCCTTAAGGGTGGCAACACGGAAAGAATGTTTTGCTGAAATATCTAAAAATTTTACTAAATACAGATCTGGAAATAATTTTGTTGAAACTTTAAAATAATTATGTAGAAAACTCAAGTATGAGTAATGCTGCAAGAAAGTTTAATAACTTCTAGCAACAAGCTTGAGCGTCCTACACAATTATTTTATCAATAATGCAATAAAATTATTTTCAGATCAGTACTAAATTTTTTAAATATTTTAGCAAAAGCATTTTTTCCGTGAAACAGAAAGTAGATTCTAAACTCTACGTAAATATGTACTAAAATTACACCGTTATTTATTAGGTGTTAAACTTAATTCCTGCCGTTTTCCGTCTCCAAAATTGATTTGTTTCGAAGGGAAGATGAATGAATACCTTAATCAAAGTAATTTCCTCCATTTTCTACTTTATTAATAATTAATAATACTTTATTAATAATACTTTGATTAAGATATTTCCCTTCGAAACAAATCAATTTTGGAGATGAAAAACGGCAGGAATTAAGTTTAACACCTAATAGCTTAAACTTTATGGCCCATCATTCAGAATCCACTTTTATCAATAAATATGTGCTTATGTATGAAATTGTATAGTAACGTGAACTATGTACCAAACATACACTAACATCGTAAAAGCGTATTCTGAATACAGATCTAATTTATTAATGTAGATACCTTTAATTATTATGCAGACTCAATGGCTACCCTCCGGATAATAATGAATGAATGATAATATGCTATTAGACGAACTAACAACGCTAAACAATTATCCGTATTTAGAAATATTCCGTAGCATTTCACACCAATTATTATTAAATATTTCTTTCTGTTATCAATCGCACCTTCGAATACAAATAATATCGTCGTGCAAAGAGCTTTACTCGATCCTACGACAACAGTGAAGAAGTAGCGGACGTCTAGTCAACACAACAGTTCCGTTCAAACTGTCGGTATTTCTTCAACCCTTGAAACCACTTGAGACCATCGTGGTCGCACTGGGAATTGGGACTCTCATAAACATGAGGAAGAAGGGCATATGATACAAAAACCAAGGCAAAAAGTTACAGCGGTGGGAATGAATTCTTTCATCGCATACACAATCAAGGACCTCTTTCTACTAGACTTAAATGTACGTATCTATCTTTGAAACTCTAAACGCTTCGAAAATTCAAAAATCTTACCTATAATAAATTAAATGTGAAAAAAAATGGAATATACATGTATGCAAAAAATGTTGAAGTATTTTTTTTAAAGCAAGATAATGCCAAGCTTGCATAATAGCGTTTAAATTAATTTGTTACTATGTATGTACATGCCAAGAATATTTGAAAAACTTACTATCTGTAAAAAATACTTTCTATGTACTGACTCACATTTTTCCATAAATGTTTTTCTCGAAATAAATCTTAATTTAAAAAATGATAGGTTTAAAAAAGATATATATATATCTTTTTTAAATCTATCATTTTTATAAGACACAAGATATGTATATTTACAGAATAATGTATATTATGTCTCTCGTTTTATAAAAATTATATCTTAAACGTTTTATGTGAAGAAAAAAATTTGTAGTTCTAAAAGGATATAAGAGTGCATCCAAACCATTGAACCGAATATCGAGCCACGAGCCGAGCCTACGTCCAATCTATATCCAATCTATATTCATAGTCAATAATTTGATGTTAATCTGTAATATATTCGTTTCGATAATGTGGATGTAAGATCTTTGTGGACACAGGCTCGACTCGCGGCTTGATGTTCGGCTAGATAATCTAGTAACACATACTGTGAATAAAAGGGTTGGAAATCCATACAGAGAGAACTGTAAAAAGATAGTCTGGACGCATCTTAATAATACACACACCTTAAAAAAATAAATATTAAACAAAAAATATTAACAACAATTTTATTACAATTTAATTTTAGAAATTTAATTTAACAATTTAATTTTAGAAAAATAATTCCCTTGTAAAAATCTTACTAATAAATGAAAGAAATGCAGAAGAATTCGAGGGATACGGTTTCACTTATTTGTACTCTAGTTCGAAAAACGTAAAATACTTCAGTCACAAAATATTTTCAAATTATAATTAAATTAATTCACAATAATTAACTCCTAATAATTAGCAGTTGCTACATCTTGTTATTATTTACGTCTCGTGTAAAAAAATCAAAATCACTACCATATTTTTCTCAACAGAAACGATTCCCTTCTCATTTTATGCAAAACTAATATGTCATAAACTGCGAATGAAGCGTAACTACAAATGCGATTTACAGTCCAGACTCTGATACAACATTTATATTAAATTGAGTATACATTTACGAACGAACACCGAATACAAAAGTTCGTTATTGCTTCAACAAATAGCACAAGTTAAACACTTTATGCTGCGAATACTGAATCTGATCAAACGCTCGGTGTAATAAAAAAAAAAGCAGCAAGCTTACAAACAGAAATATAAATGTCCGTTATTTGCATTCGCTACGTGTTCTCATTGCTAACGTATACCCCGCGGCTTTACAGAAAATTGAACAGAAACTTACCTATAACAGGAAACAGACAGTCGTTTCAGAACCACGCACGGCTTCATCACAAGCTGTACTAGTCCTGCTCGTGTCGCCCGCTTTGATAATCCCAGTTTCCGCAAATCATTCTTTAGCTGAAATAATTATTTTGTGGTCAGATATTCCATACATATTCAAGGTTGCATCAAATTCTCTACCGCCAAAAATAAATTTTTACAGTATCACTTTCTACACAAGCTGAAGCTGAGAGAATAATGAATTCACAACAAACAAAAACGCACAATGCTGATGGAGAGACTGTAAAGTGTATAAATTGTATTAAAGTTGTTTGTCGACAATGTCAACATTTCATAATAGGTTAGATTAATACACGTCTTAGTCTCGCTAGATTTACTACGTAAAATCGGCAATAAACAAAAATTCGCACCTTGACTAGCAGCATACGACGACGATTTTCGTCTCCGTGAAGCCATCTCTTCAACTCGAAGTTGTTAAACATATAAGCCTGCTCCTTGTATTCAGTCATTACTCGCACGGCTAAAATAATTTGTCACTGATAATTCTCTTTTGGATAAGCAAATTTCTCCCCACTCAAGCTCAGAAATCACAGAGCAAACGTAATAATCCTTATTCCTTATTCTCGAGCACAGCGGTTTACACACACACGGTCCGAAGGAACACGAAGGAACTGAGCTACCAGGAAAAGAACTAGCGAGTTTATACGTGCCTAATCAGTTCGACGATTGGCCAATGTGGTAACCGATGAAGGACAGCGCTAAGGAGACCGCAAGATACCGCTGGCGCGATCGTCTTCTGTTTATCGCGAATCGCGACTGTCCCTGAGACCTCTACTTTCATTTGTATTGTAGGTAGATTATATGTAGATACAAATGTCATTGATGTCATGTACGCCGACGCAGGACGTTTTATTTCTGTTTATTTCTCACTGATCTCACTGATCTAAGTGTGAAAATTGGAGAACGGAAAGAAAGCAAATTTTCTACCTGGAGGTTTTATACCCGAGGATTTTATACCTGAGAAGAGGTAAGTTATATACCCAACAATGTCCTTTTCAAGAAATCTTATTGTATTTCGAATGGAATCGTCCAAGGAATATTGAATGCTGTATTCATTTTTCTTTTTTTGTCTTTTTCTTTTCTTTTTTCACAAAATTCCTTTACTTTATTTATCGTTATTTGCATTTTTTCTTGAACTTTTTCGGATTTGTCCAAGGAAAGTAAGCGTTCTTAAATATAACCCTTTTGGTATGTAAAAAATACACGTAGGGAAACATATGTATCTTTTATTTTTACCAATAAAATTTTATTGAAATGCATCTATATTATGCGAAAGTTTGCACTGCAAATTTCGTTAAACTAACTTTTATAAATTTTTAAACAATAAATTTTAAATCTTTGCTCGCAAACGTTTTCTCACAATAATTTTGCGTTTCACGTGACGCATCACAAATGAATTTGCAACTTGATGTAACTTGAGATTCATCATGGGCGATGCAGTAGGCTTATCATTTCTAACGATAACAAGATTCTTTGCACGTCTCGCTTAAGCGTCTCATATTTCTCTCCTCCCCTCCATAAAATTTAATATCGTTGTGTTATTTAATATCCTTTCGATAAATTATTCGTATATTATATAGTACTGTATTTCTCGTAATGATGTAAATGATATATCGTTTATTCGAAGCTGTTTTGCTCACCCTTTTCTGCACTCGATATACAGCAAAAAAAGTAATCCGGATTTCGGAACTATCTGCCGATATTGTTGTTCCTTCACCATCTGCCCACGCAGAGAAATATTCTTTTCTTTATATTATTATAGCATTTTATAACAAAAAATAAGATAGAACAATACGAGCCGTAAATATTCTTGAAGAAAGTATTTAGAAATGTTCAGACTAAAATTGTCTCTCCGCACGATCATATCGTACCAGATACTTCTCATAAACACTGTTGAATCACTATTTATACTACTAAATACAGACGTATGCAGTTGACCGCCGAGAAAAATCTGACCTGTAGATATATATCGTTTCCGTGTGTGTTATCTGCATACCATATAAACTTCCGATAACCATAGCATCCCTTTCGTTTCTTCGTTAACCGATCTTCGTCGGACTAACGGATATACGACACATAAAAAAAAAGAGATGAGTCATCAAAGATATGAGTCATGACGAATTATTCCGACGTAGAAGGAAACCTAGCAATTATAACATGCAAAAGTGGATATTTCTGTTCTTATTATATATATATATATATATATATATATATAT